CGCCGCAGCGGCCAAGGTGGACGCTTGCAGGCTCCATCGAGGATGCCCGTAATGTGCGGGTTGGCCAAATCAATATAATTTTGCTGAACGACTTCCTTCGGCAGTACGTTGGCCCCAACAGAGCGGTGGGTGTAGGCCAAAATGTGATGATGGAGGTGTTTGTGCGTGGGCCAGACAGGTACGCTACAGAGCAGAGGCGTCGTGAGGGGAAATCCTCGATTCCACCAGGGTATCAGCTTTTTGAAGATGCACGCAAGCTTACGGAGCGCATGGTGGGCACGCTGCGAGACTGGAAGGAATTTACAGATAAGGAGTATTGTCTCTGCTATTACACGGACAAAACTGAAGGCAGCTCTTCAACTGGCGTAGGAGGAAGGGGCAACACGGGAAACCGAAATACGCCCCAGACGACCATCACCGGAGGGACTCTACGAGTCCGTGTTTAACGCAACGTGGAGTCACGTCGTGGGATTTCCCGAGGGCGAGGGGGAAGACATGGAGGTGAGAGAGGGCCAACGGCCGCAAGAGTTATGGGAGTACGCGCAGACTGTGCGTACTTTTTTCTCAGTGGGTGGTGAGGAGCAGTTCCGTCCACCATGCCCAAAACACATGATCCTTTCCTTTGAAAAGCGATGGCCGTACTCGCTGGAGCATGCAGTGCCTGTTGCCGACTGCTGCATTAACATTGAGGTGCATCGGGTGTGGAAGATCGTCGAGGGCGATCTAAAAGGAGTGTTTCTCCCTCCAGAGAGAGGCCCACCATGCATGAGACGCCGTCTTTTGGTTGGAGCCCCCGGGGTAGGGGAGTCAATGGCGGCTGTCTCCTACCTCCTTTATCAGCTGCTGCACTACGACGGCACGAAGCTCCATGTGGTTGTGTTCTGCTTTGGAAGGGGTTTCGCATACTTGTTTGACAAGAGGACACGAACGGTGACAATATACGTGGGTGAGAGTAATATTGGAAGGGCTATGATAAATTTGGCTGGGAGTGGAATGAAGGGGTATATCATCATCGATATGGCAATACATTTTCGAGAGCCATCGAATGATGTTGTGCCCTCCCCTGAGTGGGGCATCATTACGTTGTCGTCCCCGCACGAAGATAACTTCAAAGCATGGACGGAGCAGGCGGAGTATTGGAGAAGGATGCACATGCACATGCATGACGTCGGACCGATTCCACGATGCATCTTTCAATTCAATGAGTATAAGGACCGCGTGGAGGAAATCAAGGACATCCTGGCAGGTATCGACGCTTCAAATGCTGTACATTATGGGATGATTGGAGGTGTGGAAGAGTGGCCCTCGAATGACGCACCTCACAAACTTGTGAAAGCTGTCAGAGCAATAAGACAACGCGGTCTTGAGGCGTTTGTGAACCTGCCGGTCTGTTTTTCCATTGAAAGCAAATTAATTGGAAGGTTGCTCGAGGTGGATGAGGAGAATGGCATTATTTTTCGACTATTGAAGTGCAGAAAAGAATTATTGGCAGACGCTTCGGAGCGGTATACTCCGAACGCATTCCTGCGTAGAGGCTTTGTGGAAAATATAATGCCGGGCCTCAACGGGTTGCCTCCACCAGGACGTCGTCGGCGACAGAGATGTGTGCAGCAATCGAACCCCGAAAAGCATCCAAGCAGACCCGTTGCATTAATAGCGCTGGGCCACACTCCTCCGATGTTGGATGTACAATACAAGGTGCTATACGTACCGGAGAGCAGACATTTTCCGTTTGTGGACGGTTTTTTCTTCGTTGGCGCACCGCGGAGGACGATGGTTGCGGTGCAGGTGAGACGACGAGGGCTGAGCATGGCACCCAAGCCAGCACGGTGAGGCGGTTCAACGATCTTCCACGGAGTTATTTTAATGACTGGGAAACTTTTGCGGAAGGCTTGCCGTGGGAGATTATTTACGTGCATCATGAGGACAGTACGGCAATAAACGCGTGGCAGGGATGTGTTGTCGTGGCGCACGCAAATGCAACGGGCAGCAATGAGCGTGAGGACCCTCAGGCC